GAGGTCAGAAGTTAAAGACCAGTCTGGCCAACAGGGTGAAACCCCATCTCTACTAAAAATACAAAAATTTTAGCCAAGCATGATGGCAGGTGCCCAGCTACTCTGGAGGCTGAGGCAGAAGAATCGCTTGAACCCAGGAGGCAAAGGTTGCAGTGAGCCGAACTTATGCACTGCACTCCAGCCTGGGCAATGGAGTGAAACTGTCTCAAAAAAATAAATAAGTAGATACCATTAACTGGTCACATAAAGTATAAAGGTGGAACACACACACACAGTTCCCACTTTAAAACATGTAACATGAATAACCCAAGCATACAAATGGATGCTGCTGACCATCCTAACCCCAGCGAGACCACAGAAGAATTTCCATTACTCAAGGAGTCAAAATATTCTTTACTGAACACCAGAGGCAGGACTTGTGCACATTATCCTATTTAAACCTTTACAACTCTGTGGGGTTGATATGATCACCCCCATTTTATTGATGAGGAAACCGAGGCTTAGGAATGGCTTATTCAAGGTCTCAGATCTAATAAGTAAACCATCTGGGATTCAAACTTAGACGTGACTAATGCCACGGCTTGAGTCGTTAGCTACTCTTCCATGAAGTCTCTTTTAATGGGTTTCCCTTCCAATTCTGCCACGGATCCCAAAGCCCCATCTCTGAAATGTCAGTGTCAGGGCTTCCAGTCTCACTTTTTCTAATCCAGCTCATACCAGAAGTCTCAGTAGGCCATTTTCTCTGCTTAAAATCCTTTAATATCTTTATATCATTTTCAGGATGAAGATCAAAATCTTAAACTTGGCCAAGAAGATCCTGCATGATCTGGACCCTGGTCTCCTATAAATCTGGCCCTTAAATCCTGCTGTCCCATCACACCTAATAATTTACAGATCACCAGACTCTCTGGGCTTTTACACCCTACCCTTGCTTGGGCTCTTCCATCTGTCTGGAATGTCCTCTCCATCCATCACTTCCATCTGGCTCTTACACAGGTCTCGCTCAGTGGTCACTTCCACTGGGAAGCCTTTCACAACCCTCAGACTGGGTAAAAGCCTCCTCTGGGCTTTTCCAGACCCCTGCGTTCTCCATCAGAGGAGTCATCATGTTGATTGTACTTGCCATTCACGTGTCTACCAGACTGTGAACTCCTGAGAGATGGAAGCTAAAGCATTTGTCTCTCCGCTCCCAAAGCTAAACATAGGGCCCAACACAGGAGATGCTCAACGAACATTTGCCAAACAAACACTTCACTACACTTACTTCTTTTGGGCCCTGGAATATATCATGATACTGTCCACCACAAGTCTTTGCACCTGCTGTGGTTCCTAAAGCCTAGAACACTCCACCCTCCTCCCCCAATCCCTTCCATCCCCACCCCTCCCCACTCAAGCAACTCCTACTTTCATCTATTCAAAAAATATCAAATGCTACCATGTGCCAAGTGCAATGTGACAAAGTAAAATGACAGAGTCCCTGTCCTCAGAGTTGAGAGACTAATGGGGAGGCATACATTAATTTATGCTGAAATCATGTTACGGCTAAGAAGGAAAACTACTGGGAGCTCTGAGGTAATATAAGAGAGAAGATCAAACTTAGTCTTAAGAATCCATTGAGGACTTCCCTATGTAAATGAAGTTTAAGCTGAGGCAAGGTATCAAGTACATGTGATGATCCAGAGGCTGAAACAAACATGGGACATTCAAGGAATTTAAGAAACTGTGTGAGAGTATAGAGAGCAAAGAAAGCAGCATGAGATGAGGCCGGTGATGCCATACTGTGCACACATTAAGGATTCTGAGCTTTAACCTAAGAGCATTGAGAAGCCACTGAAGGGTTACGGTTCTGATCAGAAAGAGTAGATCCCCATTTTCAAAAGATCACTCTGGCTGCTGGGACAATGAAGGGTACAAGAGTGAGGACAAGCTCCGCAGTAATCTGGGGAGAGAGATGATGACAGCTTGGACTAGGGTGGTAACAATGGAAATGGAAAAAAATAGATTTGCAATATGGTCAGGAGCAGAACAGCCAGGACTTGGTGACTAGTTGAGAGAAGGAAAAAGAGTCAAATATTTTAATTGAATAATTGATAATTAGTTGTTTAACGTCTGCCTCCCTGTCTGAACCATGAGGACAGGGACCACGTCTTTTTTGGTTCCTTGCTGTATCTCCAGCAGAGGACCAGGTATCAGTACACACTCAATTAATGCTTATTGAACAGATAGATGGATGGATGGATGGATGGCCAAAGAGGCTGTCTTCTGGGCAGGTGGGGACTAGCTCACCTCTGGGCATCAGGCTGTGAGATGGCATTCACAATGGCCTCCACACTGCTGTCGAAGAGCTCCGAGTCCTGCAGAGCAGCGAAGGCAGCCTGAATGAGTGCCTCACAGTCCTGCAGTGGCACCTCCAGCTGCACCCAGCTGGAGAAACACTTGAGCACCTTCTGACGCACACAGCTGGGTGAGCTGGGTTGCTGTAGCAGCTGCTCCAGCAGAGGGAAGACAGCCCCACATTCCACCGCCAGGCTGGTCCGCACCAGGCCTTTGCGGTATTGGGGTAGGCGGCTGGTCTGGAACTCCTCAGGTAGCACTGTCAGCAGCTCTAGCAGGGCTAGGCAGCGGCCCTGCCCATCCACTGGTGAGTCCTCAGCCTGGAAGAGTCGTACCATATCTGCTACAGCACATGGCCAAGCGTCAGGCATCATGCTGAGAGCTAGTGAGGCTAGTGCCACGCAGAGCCGAGTCAGTACAATCTTGGAGCCACTGGCAAAGCGGGTGATCTGGGTAAAGAGCTGTGCCTTTAGGCTTTCATACTGGTCAGTTGGGATGTCGCTCCAGTAGCGAGAGATCTTGATGTGAAGAGCACTGGCCCCAAAGTACTGGATCTCTGGCACCTTGTCGGGCTGCAGTAGCTGCCAGCTGAAGTGCCAGGCCTGTGGGGAGACCTGGGCCTGCATCAGCCACTTCTGAGCCAGGTTCTTGTTTTCAATGTTGGGGTCATAGTAGAGCTGGTGCAGCGCCTGCAGGACAGCACAGGACTGAACAGGTGCTGGCCACTCTGGATCCTGCCAGAGCCCAGAACAGAGGCGTGACTTGGTCCTGCAAGACTGCTCCCTCTCCCTGACTGGGGAGCTGAGCAGGGAGAGCTCAGGGCTCTTGCATTGTTTCCTGGGCCTGGGTCCTGCTGATATCTTGAGAGCCTGAAACTTGCCCATGCTCTACCATATCCTCTTCTCCTTACAGCAAAACATTATGGGTTCAGAGAGAATCTCCACAGGAAAGCAAAAAAAAGAGGAGGCTGATCCCCTCAAAGGGGAAGCACTTGAGGCCAAGGCCTAGGTGGAAAGAACAGCTTCATAGGGATGAAGCTAGACCTGAGAAGGGCATGGAACAGCTTGAGGGGACTTGACCTTCCCAGGCACAGCTGCTCCCATCAACTCCAACAGCTCCTTTCAGCTCCCCCAGGATCATCCCTAGGTCACTCCAGATGCTGGCATCAAAGCCAGTGTGAAATCAGAGCAGGACTAAGACTTTTGCCAAGTAGCCCTGGGGCAGAGACATGCTGGAGTGGGGTGGGGTGGGGGCGGTGAGAACACTCCTCAGAGGGCACATGTGAAGGTCCAATCAACTGATCCAGAGAAGCCTTGGCTATAGCTACAGCCCTGGCAAACACCTGGCCTAATGCTTTCCACTAGCACAGTCCCCAGGGCCTCAATTCCAATGGGACTTCATGAAGTAAGAAAACAGATTTATCTCCCGGTAGCACCTGGAATAGCGCGTCACCATGCCAACACTGCCCTGCTCCAAGAGGTGGGAGAGTGTGGCCAGGACCCTGACCCCTAAGCAGGCTCCATCCAAGTAGGCTTAGCTCTATTTGTACCCCTGCCGGTCAGTTATGGCCACTGTCCCTTGTTTGGCCCCTCAGGGATGCCAAAGCAGGCAGAAGAGATGCATCCTCATTGTCTGTTATGGCAAACAGGAGTCAAGAATAATAAGTGAGCATCTGCAATCATGCCCTGCTTTCAAGTAAGGGAGCCCCATCTTCCCATTCATCCCAGGGTGCATGCAATCCTGCATTCCAGGTTATAGGGAGCAGATACAGAAAAGAACCAAAAAGGTAGTTCAGAAAGATGGGCTGGGCAGTGGGGGAGCTTGGGAGGGCCATGGCAGGGAGCTGTGTGGGCAGGTGAGTAGGGAAGAGCCCTGTAAGGCTGCCAGCCTTACAGGGCCAGGACCCTTGGACTCAGCACAAAACAAAAGGAGACAGCCCCACACCTGCCTGCTCAGGACTGGTCTGGCTTCCATCCAATAAAGGAAGGACCCTTCTCCAAAGAGTAGAAACAACCCAGATTGTTTTAGTTCCAGATTATTTCCTGAGCCCTTGGCTCAATAAAACCAGGTCCAGGATGGTTTGGCATCAGTATAATTCCAGAAGACTGAGCTGCAGGTCTCCTGGGTTCCCAGTTTCCTACTGCACTGCTCATGCAGTTCCCATGGAGCTGGAAAATAGCCAGTCTGGCTGGAAGGCTAAGTCATAAGCTCCCTGAAGGGACCATCCCAAGACCCTGGAGTATCTGTCCACAGGGGACCTGCCTGTAAGGAAAGACAAAAATAGCCCATTAGGGGACTGCAATACTGCCTGCCCAGAAAGACAGCAAATGCCAGGTGCTCTGGGGGCACCATACCAGCGGGCAGCCAGCCCAGGCCTGAGCGCTGGCATTAGTGACAGTCCCCAGAACTTCTGCTCTGTCACTGGAGTGCCCACCCCAGAGCCCTCATACCTTCTCCACGTTCTCCACAGTGAAGTCCAAGGCTGATGCTGCTCCAGCCCCTGCAGCCCCCGACTGCTCCTCCCGCCGCTCCATCTTTGCTCCCTCCCTGGCAGGGAGGTGGGCCCTGATCTGCCTCCTGCCCCAGCCCCTTGGCTGCTGGCCCCCTGCTAGACCCCGGCTTGGATGTCCAGGGAGTGGTGGGGTGAGGGGGGCCCCAGGGCGGGCATGGCTGCCGAGGCCTCCCCACCTCGTCTGGGGGTGAGGGGCTTGCCAGAGACCAAAAGGGGTGCTCTTGAGAGACCCACTGAGGGGGACTCCGAGGAGGGGGCCGTCAGTGAGGAGCTCCCAGGCGGGGATCCTTGTGGTAGGTCACAGCTCTGTCCCCACAATCTGTGTGGAGGGAGTCAGAGGGGAGGGAAGCCTGCGGGGGAAACCGAGCCCCTGGATCTTGAGGGGTCACAGGGTCGATGGCCTGAACCCACAACACCACCGCCTGGGTGAGCTCTCGGGTGCTATGAAAAGGTCACGGGGCTGGAGGGTCACCGGGGAGAGAGCCCTTCGTGGTTACGGAGGCGTCCAACGAAGCGCGGAGGTACAGCTTCGCGAGTCTGGGGCGAAGAGTCCGTGGAGTTGAGGGGCTGTGGCAGGTCTTTCCGTTCGGCCTGGCCCGCGCTGTGCTCACCGCCCGGCGCCAGCCCAGCTACCGCCGCTGCCTCCGCCCCAGTGACTGACAGACAAGCCAGTCCGGCCGGGACGGGGCAGGGACCTCGTCAAGGCGCGGGCTGCCCGAGCGCCTGTCCCCGGCACCGCCAACTCAGTCCCCCACTCCCGCCTGTCCTGGCTCGGCACGGCCCGGCACAGCCCGGCACGACCCAGCGGAACTGCGCGGAAACTCATTCCGGGTGCGTGGCCCTGTCCTCGCGCCAGCCCGCGCGCCCCCGAGCAGGCGGTGGAGCGGCGCGCCGCCCTAGGCCCCCGCCGAGTCTAGGCCCCGCCGCTGTGCACCCTGGGAAATGTAGTCCGTGTTGCGCCTAACCGGAAGGCGGAGCCCTGCGGAGGAGGCTCGGAGCACGTGGGTTGGGGACTTGCGGATCACTGCCTGTCCTCGGCCTACCGCGACCAGCAGGCACTCAGGGTCAGACCGGTGCGGGGCGCTGCGGCCTACTTCCCTAGTAGGAGGACGTGAGGAGGAACCCGAGGACGGAGGGGGGAGTCCGGGCTAGAGGGTGGGGACTAGGGAGGTTGCCTGGTCACTCTGGCGCTCCGCTGCGGGGCATCCTCCGGCCCAGCAAAGGTGCAGTCTGGGAAGAAGGCGTCAGCATCACCCAAAGGAGAGGAGAGGGGACTTGGCACGCCTTAGGAAGAAAAAAGGGAAAGCTCTCAGGACCACCCAATAAGCAACCGGGAAACCACGTACCATGGACAGTGCTCGGGGAATTTCGTAAGGTTTTGGAAGTAACTTTATGTGTAACTAGAATAAGAGTAGCTTACATTTAAGTGCCAGGAGCAGGACTTTGCATACTTCAGGTTCAGTTTTCTTAACAGCTCTTAAGTGGGTATTTTTATTCATTTTCAGATGAGATGAGGAAGTCGAGCTTGGGGAAAGTTAGGCTTATCTTGCCCCGGCACACAGACAGGGTGGCAGACCCTGCCATAGATTTGGTCTGCCACAGGCCCCGGCAGCTCCTGCCCCTCACCCCTCCAGTTGTCTTTTTATTAACTCCTGCCTACTCTAGCAGGGAAGACGAAAAAAATTAAAAGTGCAAAGAGCTCTGTAGTTGTGTTCGAATGGAGGAAGCTGGCATTGGCAGTAGCTGCTGAGGCCTGAGAAGGACCACGAAGGCTTCCCTGAGAAAAGAAACTTCAAAAAACTGAGCTTGAAGAATAGAGAGCCTGGGGAGGAGAGGGGCTCATTTAGCTGGTAAGCAAAATCCAGTGGGACTCTTAAGTCATTCAGCAAATCTTCATCAAGAAAGAATAGCAAGTAATTCATGTTTAGTTTAAGGGGATATATGTGTGGTGGGGAAGGGGAAGGGTATGAGTAACAGAGATGAGGTTGGAAAGACAAGTTGGTAGCAATAGATTCTTGTAGGAGTTTGGACATTATTCTAAGTGCAATATGAAACCATGATGGGGTTTCAAGTGAGCAATGATGATTACATTTGCATTTTAGAAAAATATGTCTGCAACATGAAAGACAAATTGAAGGAAGAAACAGAGGCAGGAGACATTTGGAAGGAGGAAAAGGAAAGCCAAAATAAAGTAACTGATTCCAGGCCTGTGCCTAGGGTGTGAAATACCTTGAGCCTGGTGCTGGCTGGGGGTTTCACTGGTGGAGGTGGCGGTGCACAGGGGAGATGGTGTTGGGAGTGGGTTTAAGTGCACAAATTCTAGATTTAGTCCTGGGTTCAAAACTTGTTTATGCCTTTTTCTAGCTATGAGACCTTGGCTTCTTCTGAAACTCATTTTAGTTAAGGGGGTGTTGGAGGTGGGGGGCTCAAGCCCAGAGACTACAACTTAGTCAGTATGTATTTTCTTCCTGCTTCTCATCCAGGGCTCCTCCTTACTCCTGGGGGTTCCAGGGATCTGGCAGAGAAAGAAGCCCAGATTCACCAGCAATGGCTCCTGAACATCCTTTGCAAATACTACTTGGGACAGATGGACTGAAGTAGGCCCTGGGGAGGGTTGGGGGCATTTCCAGAAGACAGACAAGCCAAATCTCCAGGAAATTTGGATGTTAGTGCAGGATAGCTTAGAGCCAAGTTAGGGATAAGTCTTTGGGAGCCAGTTACAGAGGGTTCTTCTCTAAGGAACAAGTGTAGACCTATAGGGGCCAGAACCTGTGGCAACTCTGGGAGGGGTCTGCAGATTCAGGAGGGAGCATCCCAAAGCCCAGCAGAGGGGGAGAGGGAGCTTTTATTGGTCACCTGGAACCGCTACCAATTCATGTTTATGTCAAATTAAGTGATCACTTTGAAGTTTTTCAGCCTACCAAAATCATGTGAATTTGGTCTCCAAAATCAGACGAAGGCCTGCTTGTAGTTAAGAATTCTCAGGGGAAGGCCGGGCTTGGTGGCTGTAATCCCAGCACTTTGGGAGGCTGAGGCAGGCGGATCATGAAGTCAAGAGTTTGAGATCAGCTTGACCAACATGGTGAAACCCCATCTCTAACAAAAAATATAAAAATTAGCCAGGCATGGTGGTGGGCACCTGTAGTCCTGGTTACTTGGGAGGCTGAAGCAGGAGAATCACTTGAACCCAGGAAGTGGAGATTACAGTGAGCCAAGATTGTGCCACCGCACTCTAGCCTGGGCAACAGAACAAGATTGCATTTCTAAAAAAAAAAAAAAAAAAAGAATTCTCTGGGGGAGATTGTTCCCCCTTCTTAGCACCAGGGTTGGATGCAGGCAGTTTTCTTTGTAGTCCCCTGGTTTGAGGGAGAGAGGTTAGGTCAGACAGGGGCAGGTTTCTTTTAATTCACCCTCACAGTGTTGGCATATACTGGCCTTTGAGGTCCTGGCCTGATGGAGAAGTTTCCAAATAGACTCCCCATGGTGAGGGGGCCCTGGGCTTTGTCTTCTTTCTCATAAGGTCAGGGACCCCTTGGAAACCAATGATCGATCAGGTTCAGTAGGTTCAGCAACTGCCTTCAAGATGAAAGCCAATGATAGAGCTTTGCTCACCATTGTAGCTCCCAGCTTTCATTTAGTTTTTTGGCCTCAATGTGTTTCTTATGTTTTTGCCAGCTTATGGATGCCCTTAATTTTAAAGATAGATAGATAGAGTCTAGTATTTAAAGTTGTTTTCAGCAGGAAGTTTAGCCCAAGTCCGTAGGCTACCACGTTGCAAGAAAACCTAATGGGCAGTTTTCGGTTCTTATACAACTTGATTTTGTGCTGCATCTGGCCCTGTTGGCCACTCCCTCCAGTTCTTCTGCTTTGTCTTGTTTTTCCCAACACTCTGACCACTCCTTTTTGATTTCCTGCACTGGCCTGTCCCTCTTCCTCCACCTGTTCCTTAAATGTTAGTTCTCCTTAGTCTCTGCTTCTTGTCTTATGCCTCATTATCTCACCACTCCTCTGGCTTCAAGCTGTGGCTCCTTGGATTTCTCCAGCCCAGACTGTCCTGAGTTTCAAACCCATATATTCAGCTGCCCCTATGCTCTCTGAAGTTGCCGCAGGCCCCTGAAGTTGAATACATACAAAACTCAATTCACATTTTCCCCACATCTTACCCGTCACATGCTAAAATACTACATCCCCCATGTTCCTTACCACTACTCTAAGCCAGACACCTGGAAACCATCTCTCATCAAGCCCTCACATCTCTTATTGTGCCTCACATCTCTCCTGTCCTTGCACATTGCTTCTGCCCTAACTCAAGGTATCTGTGTTTGTTGCATGAACAGCTCTAACAATGGCAGCTCTAGCTGGCTCCCACCTTGCCTCTTCCATCTGTACTCGACACAGTAGCCAGTGATCCATCTGAAACACATCTCTAACCAAGCCCACTTAAAACCCTTCAGTGGGCCGGGCGTGGTGGCTCACACCTCTAATCCCAGCACTTTGGGAGACATAGGTGGGCAGATCATGAGGTCAGGAGTTCGAGAACAGCCTAACCAACATGGCCAGATGCAGTGGCTCACGCCTGTAATCCCAGCCTAACCCATCTCTATTAAAAATACAAAAAAATTAGCTAGGTGTGGTGGCACACATCTGTTATTCCAGCTACTCAGGAGGCTGAGGCAGGAGAATCACTTGAACCCCGGAGGTGGAGGTTGCAGTGAGCCACGATCACACCACTGTACTTCAGCCTAGGTGAAAGAGCAAGACTGTCTCAAAAAGAAAAAAAAAAAACCCTCAGTGGCTCCTTTCAGAGCCAAGGCTGAGCTCCTTGGTATAACATTCAAAGCCCTTTGTGATCGCTTCAGCCTTTTGTCTTGATGAGGACCCTCCCCAAGTCTACCTGAAATTGCTGGCAATCCTGGGAACACACCAGGCCGTTTCACACTTTCCCTGTCATTGTTCATGCTACTTCCTCTGTTGAGAAGGCTCTGTGTCATTCTGGATGCAATCAAGAGAGAGACACCACACAGTCAGCACACAGGGGAAGTTTAATAGAATTGTGAAATGTAACAGGGAATTGAAGCCATGATGAACTAGCTAGTAAGAAGTGAAAAAAGCATCTAAAGAATATAGGAGGCCAGGCGCGGTGGCTCAAGCCTGTAATCCCAGCACTTTGGGAGGCCGAGGCGGGTGGATCATGAGGTCAAGAGATCGAGACCATCCTGGTCAACATGGTGAAATCCCGTCTCTACTAAAAAAAAATACAAAAAGTTAGCTGGGCATAGTGGCACGTGTGCCTGTAATCCCAGCTACTCTGGAGGCTGAGGCAGGAGAATTGCCTGAACCCAGGAGGCAAAGGTTGCGGTGAGCCGAGATCGCGCCATTGCACTCCAGCCTGGGTAACGAGTGAAACTCTGTCTCAAAAAACACACACACACAGAATATAGGAGTGGCAGTTTTCAGGCTGAGATGGAGAGCCCAAGGAAGAGGCCCTCACCTCTGCATTCCTGTCCAGGGCCAAGAACCACACCATGCAGGACAGGACATGGCCACAATGAATTCCTGAGCTCTAACCATCCACCCTTCTCAGCCTTCCAAAGTGCTGGGATTATAGGCGTAAGCCACCATGCCTGGCCAAATTTTTTGTATAAGTGTGTCCCAATTATTGCATTGGGCATACTGGAAACAAGTATTTAGGCCAGGCATGGTGACTCGCACCTGTAATCTGAGCACTTTGGGAGGCCAAGGCGAGAGGATTGCTTGAGCTCAGGAGTTGATGACCAGCCTGAGTAGCATAGGAAGACCCTGTCTCTACCAAAAAAATTTTAAAAATTAGCCAGTCATAGTAGCATGCACCTGTGGTCTTAGCTAGTTGGGAGGCTGAGTTGGGAAGATTGCTTGACCCCAGGAGGTGGAAGTTGCAGCGAATCAAGATCACACCACTGCACTCCAGCCTGAGGGACAGAGCAAGACCCTATCTCAAAAAAAAAGTGTATTTATTGTTTAACTGAAATCCGAATTTAACCGGATGCCTTTTACTTTTATTTGCTACCCTACTCCTGTTTCCACCTCCAAGTATAGTTTCCTTGATGGCAAAACATGTTTCTCACTGGTCTCTGAATTCCTGAAACTAGCCCAATGCATGATAGTTCATGCTCAGTTACTGTTAAGAGGATGGAACTTCTCTGGCTGCAGGGCTGAGAATGATTAGAGGGAGTTGTGACTGGAGGCAATGAGACCAGGTAGGAGGATGAGCAATAAACCATCCAAAAAATTGGCCAGAAGCAGTGGCTCACGCCTGTAATCCCAGCACTTTGGGAGGCCAAGGTGGGCGGATCATAAGGTCAAGAGATCAGGACCATCAACATGGTCAACATGGTGAAACCCTGTCTCTACTGAAAACACAAAATTAGCTGGGCATGATGGCGTGCACCTGTAATCCCAGCTACTTTGGAGGCTGTGGCAAGAGAATCGTTTGAACCCACGAGGCAGAGGTTTTAGTGAGCCAAGATCACACCACTGCACTCCAGCTTGGCGACAGAGTGAGACTGTCTCAAAAAAAAAAAAAAAAAAATCTGAAGACTTCAGCAGAATAGCAGTGGGGATAGGGAAAGGGGATGAATCTGCAGGATCTAAGGATTTGGTGACCAATGCTTAAGGGACAAAACAGCGCTTAAGGAGTCTAGGAGGTTGCCCAAGGTTCTGGCTGTGTCTGGATGAGGTTGGTGCCTTCACCGAGCAGGGAACACTGGGGAGAGTGTGGAAGCTGGACAGCGGGAAGCCATTGATGTGAGGAGCAGAGCAGGCTGAAGGGTGGAGAGTGGATGTGAAGGAGCAAACAGAAGACACACAGTACACAGATGTTCAGCTTGAGGTCTTCAGGGATATAGAGATAGAAGTACTGGAATTACAGACTTGGGACTCAGGTGAATGTTCTAAGCTGGTGATAAAACATGAGCATGGTCAGCATGGAGGTGGTAACTGAGACCATGGGAGTAGATAGTGCTGCTCAGGGAGAGAGTAGAATGGGAAGAGGAGAGACAGCTGATGCCAGAGCTCTGAGGAACATGAGAGGCCGAGAGAGAAAAGGAACTCAAAAATCACCTGAGAACAAGCCTCTGGAGGAGTGGAAAGAAAACACGGAGAGGATGGGATCACGGGTCGAAGGAAGACAGGTTTTCAAGGAGCATTGATACTGTCAAATGCTTCTGAGAGTTCAAAGGACTAAATGGCCTTTGACAGTAGTGACCAGAGTCACCTGTGGCCCCAGGAGCTACAATGAGCCACCTGGTGACAGAGCCACTATGTGGTAAACAGAGGTGCAGCTCTGCAGCCCGTTTCCTTTGGGGTAAACAACCTTTTCTTGCTTTTTCTCCATCCTTCCTTCCTTCTTTCCTTCTCTCTCCTTTTGTTTCCTTCCTTCCTTCTCTCTCTCTTCTTTCTTCTTTCTCTTTTCTCTCTCTTTCTTTCTCAGAGTCTTGCTCTTGTTGCCCAGGCTGAAGTGTAATGGCATGATCATGCCTTACCACAACCTCCGCCTCCCAGGCTCAACCGATTCTCCTTCCTCAGCCTCCTGAGTGCTGGGATTGCAGGCATGTGCCACCACCCCTGGCTAATTTGGGATTTTTAGTAGAGACAGAGTTTCTATCTAGCCTAGCCACGTTGGTAAGGCCAGGCTCGAACTCCCAACCTCAGGGTATCCGCCCGCCTTGGCCTCCCAAAGTGCTGGGATTGCAGGTGTGAGCCACCGCACCCAGCCTTCTCTCTCTTTCTTTCTTCCTTCCTTCCTCCCTTCCCCTCCCTCCCTCCCTTCCCCTCCATCCCTCCTTCCCTCTCTCCCTTCCCCTCCCTCCCTCCTTCCCTCCCTCCTTCCCTCTCTTTCTTCCTTTTGATTTGGGTTGTCCTGAGTTGCAAACTGAGGCTAGTTCATGTGGAAATGTGTTCTTGGGGCTGTTGCTGTTTTGCCCAGGACTCTGAGATGTTGAGCACAAGCTGTCTGGGGCCCAGAATGCAGCCTCCAGCTGGATGGGCCCTATTCCCTCAAAAACTGGCAACCTGGGAAGTGTTGGCAGCCAGCACCTTAGGCTTGGGCTGTGTCCCTCTCACTGTGAGCATTGTCAGAGTTGGCTTCAGTCTCCTTTACCTGATTCCGAGAGCAGCCATATCTACTGAGTAGCAGGGTTTGGGGACTAGGCGAGGCTTTAAAGTCTCACCAGAAGGGGGCTGCCTGGCCACAATAACCCTGGAATTGACAGAATGTCCTTGCTGCAGGCAACCCTCTATAAACTGTATGGCCCTGGGACCATTCTCTTTGCAGGAGGGAAGGTGGAACTGAGGATCCTGAATCCATTTGGAGGCAGAGAGGGGCCAACAGCGTGTCTGAAGGGGGAGCAAAGGCATCAAAGTTTTGGGAGCACCTCGAACTGGGGCAGTGAATGCAGAAGAGTGGGAGCACACACACACGTTTCTCCTCTACCCGGAATGAGACAGCCTTCAGAGAGCTCTTGCCAGCTCCTCGCTCTAGCCTGAATGAAGGGGGCACCTGTGCCAAAGCAGGCAGGCACACAGGCAGATTGGAAGGAATTTCTGTCTGCAGCGTTACATGCCTGAGGGATCCCGCCCTCAACCCTCTCTCTCATGGTGCTCTCATCCACCCCCCGCTGCAGCTCTTGCCTCTGTGCTGACAGCTCTGTCAGTCCAGCCCAGACCTCCCCTGGCAGTTCCAGACCTGCCGATCCCACTGCCTCCTGACAGCCACTCTGGATGTCCCACCATTCCTTAGACTTGGCACCCTTTCCAAATCCACGCCCCCATCTCATTTCCAAGGAAGAAAAATCATAGAGGCCTCCTCAGTACAAATGCATAGGACGTGGGAAACAAGCTTTCAAAGGATGTCCAGAAAAGCTCAAGGATAGCACGGGCCTTTTGGAGGTGGCTTGGGGTGGTGTGGGAGGCAGGGTCAGCACTAACTTTTCCTTTCTTCCCTACGAAGGTGTGGACTTCTTAGCTTCCTGTCCTTTTCATACCATTTGCCAAATTGAATTTAAATAATTGTTACTGTAATGGCTTATTTTTTGTCTGTCTTTCCCGGTTTAAGCTTCTCAAGGACAGGGATCATGTCTGTTTTGCTTCTGTATCCTTGGCATCTATCATATAATCAGTATCTGACATATAACAGGTGCTTAATAAATATTTGTTTGAATTAATGAATATCCTTGTTCATCACCCAAGATGCAGATCCTTCTGGGGCCCTTATCCTTTCCTGCCTCCTTGTCCCCATGGAGCTCCGTGCTTTATTCACCTTAACCCGAACTCCACCGCACCCTCTCCCAACCCACAGCTTTTTTTCAGATGCTCTCATGCCCTGGGCTGCTCCATGGAATGTGGGTAGTGAGTTAACCATGCTGGATTGTCTGCTAGCAGAGGCGTGCAAGGTACTTTCAAGACAATTCCCTGGATGGTAAGACACTGATCAATGACAGTGGGGTGGGGCAATGAGTGCTTCTCTGTGTCTTTACCTACTAAGCAGGGGCCTCAAAGATACCAGCTGCTGGGTGGGAGCTGGAGATCCAGGCCAGGTCTATGATTGCTGAGTCAGCCTGAAGTGTGTAAGTGCACAAGCAAGGCATGATCTCCCTCTAGCCTCTTCTTCCCAGTTCCCCACTGCCCAGGAAAGGATCTGACAAGCCACAGAAGTAAATAAATAACTTAGAAATAATAAATAGGGGGCCAGCTCCCACTAGTGCATACAGGCCGGCTCCAGCACAGGCACTTTCAGCCAACCGACTGCAATGTCTCCTTCGAATGCTGTCCCCACAGGGCCTGGGTGGGAGCTGATGCCGCAGCCACTGTAGGGTTCATCAGAGAAGGGGTCCCAGGTTCGAGGCTTGGCCCGTGCCAGCGTCTGTGAGAAGTGGGTCCGAAGGTCTTCATAGCTGAGGTCTCTGGTGTCTTTTGGGCTGGGATCCGCAGGGTGAGTGTCTTGGGGCTGCTAGCCAGTTGTCCCTCCACCTCTCCAGGGATGCTGTCCATCACTCACCGGCAGGGGCCTCTCAGCTCTGAGGCCTCTGTCCCCGGCTGAGGCCGCTGGCTCTGCGGGAGGGTCCCAGGCAGGAAGAGCCACCGGTAGGGGTCCAGTCTGCAAAGCCCTGGAGAGAGCCCTCAGCCCAGGCAACCGCAGGCGGTGGCCGAGAGGCGGTCCACAGTTCTCCAGGTGCTGTTGACGTCCATGAAGGAGACCGCTTCGTAGCGCGTGGGTCGGCAGCAAGGCTGGCTGACAGGCCGGGAGCCCGGGGGCGGTCGCAGGGCCCCGGCGCCCAGGAGGCTGGCCAGGCTGAGGTCGTGCGGAGAGCGCGCGCGGCGGCAGGAGCCGCTGCAGAAGCGGAAACGCACCAGCTCGTCGGAGCGGTGGCCCAGGCCGAGCGCGCGCACCGGCACCAGCTGCGAGCGCAGGCGGCAGCCACGCGCCCCCGCGGCCGGTGCGCGGCTGCCCCGACCCCCAGCCCGAGCCGCGCGGCCCCCGCGGGGAGGAGCAGAGGGTGGCGCGGGCGGCGGAGGCGCTGGCCGAGAAGGCTGCGGCGGCGGCCGCCGGGCTCTTCCCCTGCAGCAGCGGGTCGTGCGTCCCCCTGGAACGAGACTCAGTCACGTGCGGTGTCCCGGGCCCGCCCCGCCCCGCCCCCTCGCCCTCTCACCTACCCGGCAGGTGGCCGGCGAGGGGCGCCAGGACCGGCGCGGGGCCTTCGCGGGGGGCGGGGCTGCGGGGCGCGGGGCCCAGGGAGGCCTCTGCGACGCTGCTCAGCAGAGCCAGAGCGGCCAGGGTTGGCCACAGGGCAGGCTGCGCGGAGAGACCAAGTGGAGCCTCAGGGAGAAAGAGGGCGCCCAAGTGGGCTTGGGGAGGAAGGACCTCAGGGAGGGGCTGTCCTGGGGCTGAGATCAGGCCGCGGATGGGCTCCTAGCTGTGTAGAGGGGAACTCGGGAAGGGCCTAGGTTCCCGTATAATGGGTTTGCTGCCTCGGGGAGCTCGGGGACGAGGTTGGGGGAAGGAATCACCTGAGTGCCCCGACCATTCAGAGAAGTCCCGCTCCTCCTCCCATTCACCTGGTCCCTTCTTGACCATTTCCCCTCCCACACGTAACCGCGGCCCAAGCCAAGCCCCACTCTCCCTCGCCAGTCGAGCAGCCTCTCTTCAGTACCAGCTGGGAGTCACTGGGAGAAGCACTCACCTGCCACCTAGGCCAGGGGCAGTGGGACAGTGCAGAGAGGCCTCCAAGTCCAAGTTCCATCTCTATCAACACCAGGAGCGCCCATCAGCCTTTGTGGAGCTGTTCCCCCACCCTCCTCTTGAGGCAGCTTGCAAATTCAGAGATGAGTTATCTTTTGGGGGGCCATCCTGCCACCCCAGTTTCTCCAGGTGAGGAGCAAGGGGCCTGGACAGCTAGATTCAACCCAGCAGAAGTAGCTGCACTGGGAACCTTACTATGTGTTAGGTGCTTTGCAGCTATTCTTATACAATTCCAAGAGGTAAATAAATGGTTTAATCCCCTTTTTCCAGATGAGCAAACAAGGCTCAGAGAAGGTCAGAGGTTGTCTAAGGTCACAAGGTCACACAGCTGGAGAGGAGAGAGGGGTCCTCTTTTCCCAGAACCTTCCTGCTCTGTGCTGTAGGGCTAGAGATGCCAGAACTGGCTGGAGGGAGTCATAGCTGGACACAGTTGGTCCTACAGAGAGCCTTCACCCCAGGGTGCCGGGGAGAAAGCTGAGGCCTGGAGAAGAATTAGGGTGCTAGCTAGTCGCTCTGAGTTATCTAATGATAGTGAGCCCCAAGCCTCAGCCTGTGCTGTCCACCCAGAGCTCCTTCCCCTTGTTCCTCTGTGAACTGTGTTCTGGACCCAGAGCCACTTGCGTTCTCTCCTCTGACCATAGGTGTCCCTCCATGACAACAGAGCCAGGGGATGGTGGGAGCGAATGGGCCCTCTGAAAACATGGGGCCTGGGCCATGGCTTCCTGTGGCCACCAGGGGGCAGAGTATGCCAAGCCTGCAGACTTCAAGCAGGGTGGGCTTTTCCATCCCCTCAGCTACACTCAGGCCTAAGCCACTCCCAGGAGGGCCAGCCAGGCTTCCATACCAGCCTGGTCTCTGAGAGCTGAGCCACCCTGAGAGGATGGTCTAGGTCTGTCCTCACAGCCCCCTGTCATGGGGTCTAGCAGCCTAGTCATGCTACTAGAAGTTTCCCCCTCGAGCCATCATCTCTCATCCCAGCCAGGCTTCCCAAGTCCCCACTGCTGGCATTTCCAAATACCCTTCTGGGGCCCCAGAGCCTTCCTCAGTCCTCATTAGCCAGCCTTCTCTTGGTCCCAGCTGCAACCCCCATCCCTATCCTCTAGCACACAGAATGCCTGCACACCTGTGGGACAGATCCCCAGGCCTTCCTGGGGTGGTCCTCCAGGTCCTGGTGTGCACCTCTTGGCTAAGTGGAATCAGGGCCTCTGGGCCAGGCCAGCGACTGTTCCCTGTGATGGAGGGAAAGGCTGGCAAGACAGCCGTAGGCACCCTCTGCGCTAGGGGGAGCCTGGGAGCAGGTCTCTGGAGGGCCTCTGAGGCCCTCCCCTCCCTTCTCACCGTCTGGGGCCATTTGGTTCTCCAGCCCTTGCCTCCCCATCCACAGCCCGCTACTCACCACGGGGTCCTGGACGGTGTTCTTCTAGGCACCTTTCCTGGGATTAGTGCTGGGCTTTCCCCCGAAGCTCAAACGGCTCATGCCTAGGACTGTGCACCTGGCAGTGCCTCTTTTAGCCAAAAGTGTGGCCTTGGCAGCCAGTCTGCGCCCTGTAGCGGCAGCGGGAGCCTCACATTACAGTGGGCCGGCAGGGCCAGCACAGTCCCAACAAGCGACAGGAGGGACTGAGGGGCTGGGAGGGGCGGAGAACTGTGCCGAGGGCCCAAGAGAGGGAGGATGCAAGAAGAGTGGAGGGGGGTGGTCCTGTCCACTCCCTCAGCCCAGGAGCGTCCATCCAGGGCTGGGACCCGGGACAGGCAAGTGGGCTGGCTTACCTCGGGTGTGGGGCTCCGGGCCCGGGTGGCAGCGAGGGCTGGGGCCCGAGGGACCTGCTGCTGGCGGAGCCCGCGGGCCTTGTCTGGGGGCCGGGCCCAACTCCATCCCTCTGCAGCCTCCTGCCCGCCGCCGCCGTCCGGTGTCAAATTCCAGCCCCGGCGTAACCAGATCCCGGGGTGGGGCCGGGAGCGCCCCTGCCCCGCCCCACCTTTCGGGGCTCACCTGGCTGCTCCACCCGTCGGATCCAGTCCCCCTTGGCTTGGTTAGGTCCCCCAAGATTGGGAGGCGGGTAGATGCCAGGAGGGGCCCCTCGATGTGGAGAGTAGAGAACTCGGGCGGCGGAGAGGCACGGAAATCGGGAGTTGAGTTTGTAGACACGCTAAGTAGAGAGCTGGGAGGCCGGGCCGAGGGCGGGAGGGAGTGAGGGCGGGGAGCGACGGGAAGGCCTGGGAAGGCCGGTCCCTGTGTGGGGCGGCCGCCTGCTGGTGCGTGCAGATTTGGGGGGCCTGGCTGTCTGCCCTGCAGCAGCTGCTCTGTTCCCCGGTTTCTTCTCTCCGCGGCCAGTTCAACTGCCTCATTGGGTTGCTGAGGCTCTGCGCAGAAGCTTTCAGCTCGGGTCTCCCCACAGCTCACCTCCTATGCTGCCTAGGGCCTGGAGTACGGACACACTTGCAAACACGGGGGTCACTAGGGCACAGCAAGGGCAGTGTTGGTAGAAGTGGGTATGGAGGGCTGAAGGCAGGGGTCACAGAGCAGGAATATCTAAGCTGAGGCTTGAAGTAGGTAGCCGGAGGGTAGCATTTCAGATGCCTAATTATGGCAATTTGGCAGGTGGGGTGAGGACTGGGTGAGGAACATGGATGGAAAGAGCCTAACCCTGGGGACCACGGGAGGGTTTTGAGCAGAATGGTGTGATAACATAGGCATTTTTGTGGATGACTCTGGCTATAGTAAAGAGGATGGGTGAGAGAGGTGGAAATAGAGTTAAGAGGCTGCTGCAGGGTGTGAGGGGAGCCTGGGGCTGCTTCTGGAACAGTTTTGAAAATTCACTGGTGTCTGACTGGATAGGGTGAGGAGGTAGGCAGGCCCTATAAACGTGTGCCTTTGGCGGGGTGACACGGGAGGGGACATTCCAGCTCCTGGGATGAAAGGCAGGGCTCACGAGTTCAGGATTGGACATGCTGAGTTAGAAGGGCCTGTGGATTATCCAAGTGGAAATGTTCTGGACACAGGTGAATTCGTAGCCTGGAGGAAAGCAGAGGGGTTGGGCTGGTGAAGGCAATTTGGGAATTGTCAACCAACTGGCAACTGGAAGCTGTGGGCAGGGATGAGAGTACTGGGGATGTATGGACCATCTATATCCTGGCTATGCATTAGAACCACTGGGGACCTGTAAAAACTACCCACATCCGGGCCCCACCCCAGATCTCAGCCAGACTCTCAGGGTGCACCTGTGTGTGCTTTCAAATGGCACTGGTAATTCTGGTGCACCCCCAGGGCTCAGAGCCATAGCTTTTGTGAAAGTAGTTTTCTGTAGTGGTGAGGACTGGAAGTCAGACCATAGAGAACTACTACTGCTGCAGGCATGCCAGGAGCCCTACGGGACAGGAGGCCAAGCAGGGAGCTGCTTGCTCTGTCACCTCCCACACCTCCCACAGCCGGCTGCTCAGTCGGGGCACCTTCCTTGGGGCTTCTTCAGCCAGGGCTACCATTTACAGGCATGCAGCCGATGCCCTGTGCAACTCCATGGGGCGCCATCCAGACGGGAACATGTGCAGGGTGGTGGCCCCATTTCCAGTAGAATTTGGAGGGCATTTCTGGGTTGACCTGTCCCTCAGTCAGGGCCTCCCTTACCCTCCAAGTCCAAGAGGCTTCTGCCTAAGGCCAGCCACAGTGAGAAGGAGCACGTGCGAGGCTGCTGGGCCCCGGGATGGCCAGGAATCCAGCCTCAGGGCTCACCAGTGGGCGGGCAGCTCAGGGCTGCCTGGACTGGTTGGGGTGGGCAGGAGAGAGGTGCAGAGGCCAGCTACCCCACTTAATTCCTGCCGCAGCCATAATGTCTGACAGGATGCTCACTTCACACTCACAAGTGCAGGTGACAGTCTCCATTCTCAGGCCTGCCTGGAGATGCTGCGGAAGGAAGGGATCAGACTCTAGGACTCTTAAGAAGGTGAGCGGGGTGTGTGTGTGTGTGTGTGTGTGACATCTTTTCTAAAGTATGACAGAAGATGCCTAGAGTGGGGCTGAAAGGAGAGGACGTGCCTCTGTTCTAACGATGGGGCCTGGGGCATGTTCTTCCCAGAGGGCTGGGAGTGTTGGGAGTAGGGTAGGTCTGCAGGCCTCTCACTGCTGCAGGGGCTCAGCAGTACATCTTTCCTTTGCTTGCAGGAATAACTGTCATTGCAGAGCTGGGGTTGTGGCAACCCTGAGGCAATGTCCTAGGGCTGCAGGCTCCAGTCCTATGCCTCTGCATCCTCTAAGACTGTGCCCTAAAACCTCCGGTCTCAAAGAAAGAGGATCCCGGACTGCGTGGGACAGGAGATGCTCCAGAGACCTCTGGGTGGCTATCTAGGCCCTGCATTAACACAAGAAGTAAAGGGGACCGAGGACTCTGTGGGCTAGAGAGAGGGCCCGAGGGTTTGGTGTAGTTGCTGAGGCTTTAGATTCCTGTTTCTTTCAGGAAAGTCAGAAAAGGCAAAAAGAGACCAGGCTCAGGGAAGAGCTTTATTGCTTCCACGAGGGTGGCCTGGGACGACTGCCGCAGCCTGGGTAAGGTCCTTGGGCCTCACTTCCCTCTGGTCCAGGCTAAAGGCAGAACCCAACGACCTGGCAGTCTCGTCGCTGAAACCTAGAACATGTAGCAATTTGGTGAGTCCAGGCCTGGGGTAGTCCTATGGATCAGCTGCAGCGGTGGAGGGGAGCTCTTCCCAGCAGGCTGAGTCAGGCATCACCCTCCTGAGCTTTAAAGCTCTTTCTGCTGTAGCCCTGGGGTGGTCTTGTTGGCTCTGAAGGGATGGCTCCAGGGTTTCCCTATGGGACAGCTAGGGCTGGTGAGTGGGAATACCCCATCTTCTCCCCAAGAAAGGCCAAACAGTGTCATGAGCTGGAAGGGGCTGGCTTGAGGAGGGTACAGGCTGGTCATGGCACTCCTGCCCCACAGGGAGCTCACTGGTACTCTAGTGGGCCTCTTCCTACATGGCAAGTGGACCCAACTTGACATCTCCAACCTTATTTAAAAATAAATTATCCCCACCCTCCCCCCTTCCCAAATTCACAAAATGATAATACACCAAACACTGATTGGAGAAGTGATTCCAGCAGCAGCCTTGCTGCCCAGTGTCCCACCACCTGCATGCTAGGCCTGCTGGGCACAGCCAGTAGCCTGCTGGCCCTCTGGTGTCAAGGACCCAGGCTGAGTGAGGCTGCGTGCTGGTCTCTGAGGCTGGCTACTGAGTAGGCATAGCTCTGGCTGCTCCACCGAGGCCTTGCTGCCCCTGGGGCCCTTGGCACTGTCCTTCTCTGGGTCTGAAGACTCCTGTTTAGGTGGTGCTGGCTTCTGCTTGCTCCTGGTGGTGCTTGAGCCTCTATGGCCATGTGGTGGGCCCACTCAGATGCCACTGCTTAGATCAGTGATGACACGAGCTTTCACCAGCTTCCGCAGAAACTCTTTCTCTCGCTGGATATTGTGCGTCCAGGACTGGAAGGAAAGAGATGAAGTGATCGGTTGGGCCTTTGCTGAAACCTTTGTTTAGTGCTCCTTCTGGGTCTTGGTGCCCTTTTCCAGTCACAGCTCTCCAATACTCTGTGACTGTGGAAATCTGAAGGCAGATACTGGGAATCAGTCGTGTCTACAAGGTAATGACCCTGCTCTAGGAGTGCTACAGCTCATCCTCCTTCCTTCCCATGATGTGGAGAAAAGAACCTTCAGAGCCCTTTCCTCGTCCCAGGAAAACCGTTAAGCTTCCCAACCTCCCTCCTCAGCATGAGCAGGACGACCTCGTTCCCACAGACTTCAAGCCACTTCTTGTCAGGAAGCACCAGGTTATAGATACCCTGCGGGCAGGCAATGTGAGTCACTGAAGCCCAAAAGCAGTCTCTGGCTGAGTCACTCCCAGGCCTGATGCAATCTACTCTTCAGGCCTGGGGGCAGCGGATGAAACCCTGCCTCCCAGATCACAGGAGCCATGGGGCCTGCGGAGAAATGGCTATCTTTTTAAAAAATTTAAAAATATTTTTTAATTGAAATAATGATTGTATATATTTTTGGGGTAGAATGTGATGTTCTGATAGATGTATACCTCGTGGAATAATTAAATCAAGCTAACCTCACCTACTTACCAATTTTTTATGGGGAGCACATTTGACTATAGCTAATCACAATGTTCTGCATTTCAAAATCACTAGAAGAGGCTTCTGGGGAAAACTGTACCCAGGATGGGCTTCTTCACTACCCAGGACTCTCACCAGAAAACTTTGATAAAAAAGGGCTTGATTGAATGAAGGGAAGAATGACAACAGCCTTATCCGAGCTTGTCCCTGAGTGGCTTCTCTGTTGTGTTTGTCAGCAATGAGCTTCACCAGAACTGACATTTTTTTTTTTTTGAGATGGAGTTTCACTCTTGTTGCTCAGCGGAGTGCAGTGGCATGATCTCAGTTCACTGCACCCTCTGCCTCCCGGGTTTAAGTGATTCTTCTGCCTCAGCCTCCCAAGTAGCTGGGATTACAGGCATGAGCCACCACGCCTGGCTAATTTTACATTTTTAGTAAGAGACAGGGTTTCACCATGTTGACCAGGCTGGTCTCCGACTCCTGACCTCAGGTGATCCACCTGCCTCAGCCTCCCAAAGTGCTGGGATTACCTGCATAAGCCACCATGGCCAGCCCACCATAACTGTTCACAAGCCACTGTTTACTGGTGCTGAGAAGTGAGCTGGGTGCAGTGGCCTGTGCCTGTAGTCCCAGCTACTTGGAAGGCTGAAGTGGGAGGATCACTTGAACTTAGTCCACCTGGGCAACATATCCAGACCCCAGCTTCTGAAAAATAATAAATAAATGAATTTTTAAAAAAAGAACTTATGGCTCTGTCTGGCCCTTATTCTGAGCCAGTCAACCCTCTCCACCTTCCAGATCTTTTACATCTGAAAACTCAGGTGGTCATCAGCCACACTCCCGACATTCCTCTTCTCTGAGTATTCCCTTCGACCTCTGTGCTAACCACAAACCCAGCCACCTTGAAGGACAGTGCCCCCAGACTCCCTCTCAAGTGGTGCCTGTTTCTCCCCTCACATTCCACACTCTACAGCCTCTGAAGGCGGGAAGGGTCTTCCTCACATCCCGTTGTCCCTCCAGATTCCCTAAAGCTCTCCGGCCCCTTCAAGGCTCCTGTCATTTGACTCTGCCATCTGTACTTGCCCCTCCTCATTGCGGATCCCTGGACAACTCATCCCCATTCTTGGAAGATGTAAGCATCTGCCTCACTCTCTCTCTTTGAAAGAGTAGGGGCTGTTAGGCACAGAGTAGGTGCCTCAATATTTGTTGAATGAAATTAGGTTTTATAGATGAGAAAACAGAGGCTTGGAGGAATGACAGGGCCAGGATTTGAGTAGACGTGGAAACTCGTTAGCCTCTTTTCTTATCCCTCATTCTCATCACTCCTCTGGAGAAGTAGTAACCAATTTGATGGGTCAGGGTCAACAGTACCCCTTGGGAGTCATTGAGGGTTAAAAGGTCAGCACAGGACTGGATATTTGATATTAAGGAATTACTGTTAATGTTTTTAGGTGTGATAATTTTTTAAAAAAACAGTATCTTTTTTTTTTTTTTTGTCTGAGACAGAGTTTCACTCTTGTTGCCCAGGCTGGAGTGCAATGGTGCGATCTTGGCTCACTGCAACCTGTGCCACCTGGATTCAAGCAATTCTCCTGCCTCAGCCTCCCAAATAGCTGGGATTACAGGCACCCACCACCACACCTGGCTCATTTTTTGTATTTTTAGTAGAGACGGGATTTTACCATATTGGCCAGGCTGGTCTCGAACTCCTGACCTCAGGTGATCCGCCTGCCTCGGCCTCCCAAAGTGCTGGGAATACAGGCATGAGCCACCGTGCCTGGGATGAATGAAGTATTTATGGCTGGAAGGGTATATGGTATCTGAGACTTGTTTGAATCAGTGGAGTGGGAGCATGAGACAAAAAGACAGAACAATATTGGCTGCATGTTGATGCCTGTGGAAGGTGGGGGCAGGAACATGGGAGTTCATGATATCCTCTGTACTTGCCAATTTCCATCATAAAAAGTAAACAAGAAAGCTGGCCATGGGGTGTAGCTCTCTTGGATCAGGCAATGACACCTTTCTGGTGTGCTTTTCCTAATTCCGCTGTGGATGCAGACAACTTCTGAGTTCACGAGAGCCCTGACCTGGCCATGGCTGGTGCAGGATTCTGGTCACCTGGAATCAGGATCATGGGCTCCAGGACCCTTGATTCTGAGCATGGATGCCCATCCAGTGTCACAGTCCACGTTCTCAGAAGCTCTTTTTCTTTGGCTCCTCTTTCCTCATCCCACATTTAGTACTGGTGTTCAAGGGTCCTGCCAGGACAAGATGCACTTCTCACTCTCTCTGAAATCTCATCCTTACATCTGAAGAACTGTGCTCACAACTCACACATCTATACTTCCAGCCTGGACTTCTCTGCTGTGTGACAGATTCCTGTATGAAGCCACATCATCCTCGAGCTGCTGCCCACTCTCTCTCCTCCCTTCTCCTCCAAGCGTCCTGAGAGATGCTTTGCCATGAGCAACTTCTGTGTTCTCTAGGGTGCCTTCTAATTACTGTTCACTACTGCAGTCTGGCTTCTACTCCATGACTCCTTTGAAACTGTTCTCACCACAGTCAGCATAACTCCTAACAGCTAAATCCAATGGCCACCTCTCAGCACTCATCTTCCTGGGTTTCCCAGCAGCACCACACTGTGGATACTCTTCCTGGAACGCTGCTCCTTCATCTTCCATTATGTGGCACCTCCCTGATTCCTCCATCTCCTTTATGAATTCCCTTGACATCCCTTACATATGCCAGGCATTCAGGCCTCGGTCCATGTGTCTCCACATCCCACACACCCCTGCTGGGCCTGCAGAGTGAGCTGATCAAGGCAAGTGCAGTTGAAGCGAGGGGAAGCCAAGGTGCTGAATGGTCCACGTGAGACACCCCAGGTAACAGAGGGATTCCAAACCCAGGCACCAACTTTCTCAGTGAATCCTCATCTGGGGGTTGGTAAGTAACAGTGGCAAGTAGGGGTAAAACAGTGATCATAATGGCTAAGATTTCTGAGTGCTTACTATGTGCTAGGCCTTATCACATCTGGTCCTTTCCAAACCCCAGGAGCAGGTGCTGTTATTATCCCTTTCACTGATAAGGAAATGAAGGTCTAGAGTCAGGCCCTGTACTGATATCCCCAAGTCATCTTTTTTGATTTGAGAAGCTACTCTTTTTTTTTTTGAGACAGAATCTTGTTCTGTCACCCAGGCTGGAGTGACAGTGGCAGGATCTCAGCTCACTGCAGCCTCTACCTCCCAGGTTCAAGCAATTCTGCTTCAGCCTCCCAAGTAGCTGGGATTACAGGCACACACCATCACGCCCAGCAGATTTTTGTATTTTAGTAGAGACGGGGTTTCACCATGTTGGCAGGACTGGTCTCAAATTCCTGACCTCAGGTGATCCGCCTGCCTCAGCCTCCCAAAGTGCTGGGTTACAGGCATGAGCTACGGTGCCCGGCCAAGAACTACACTCTGCATGGAGTGCGGTGTAGCAGATGCTGGGAGCCTCAGAGCCAGTGAGGTTTTGCATGTAATGGAGGGACAATGGCCTGAAAATGGAGACATGGCAGGTGGAAGCAAAAGAACAGACTCCATCAGAGAGGGCTGCAGGGAAGGCAGTGTCCTACCTCATCCTGCACCAAGGCAGTCCCCAGGCCCTACTGAGTTAAAATCCTATTTCTTGCCTCTGTCTCATTGCCTTATACTTCCAGCCTGGACTTCCGGCCTCTGTCTCATCGCCTTAGCCAAAGATCTGGATCATCACCTCTCTCATCACCTCTCCCCTCATTGTCTCAGCCAAAGATCTGGTTCAGGAGTCACCATCTCTTGACCAGAGTGCAACAACTCCCAACTAGGTTCTGTTCCTGCTTCGCCCTCTCTCCTTCACTCTGCGGCCATAGTGACCCACTACATGCTAATGTAAGGCCTCAAACTCATCCACAGCTTCCCCACTATCTTCTAAATAAAGTCCAAACTCCTTCTGTGGCATAGAAAGTCCATTAGAATCTGCCCATCGCCCATGTCTATGGCTCGCACCCTCTGCATAAAACTTTACATAAAGTTTACATAAAAGGAATTTATAAAAGACCAAAGATATAAGTAAACAGAGGCCAGGAGGCTGATAAAAGCTATGAGAGCAATCAAGTGGGTGCTGGCTGGGGACAAAGCAGCAAGAAGGCATGTGAAAAGAGGCAGGAAGGGAAGACTCTCGGGGCCACGGGGATGGTGAGGCAGTTCTAGAACTGTCCCAGACCCAGAATGGGCGTCTCACTCCTGAACCCTGACCCAGACAACAAGAGGCCCAGCTGGAAGGCTGTTTCTAGCTTCCTCTGAGATTTCCAAATCTCCTGCATATCCTTGAAATAAGTCCCAATCACTTGAGATGGTTGGAAGAAACCGGCTGTCGACTGAATGTTTATGTCCTCCCCACAAATTCATATATTGAAACCTAACCCCCAGTGTAATGGAATTCGGAGGTGGGGGTCTTTGGGAGGTGACTGGGTAATGAGGGTAGAGCTCTCATGAATGGGATTAGTGCTCTTATGAGAGACTCAGGGCCAGGCGTGGCGACTCATGCCTGGAATCCCAGGACTTTGAGAGGCCAAGACAGGAGGATACTTGAGGTCAGAAGTTAAAGACCAGCTTGGGCAACATAGCAAGACCTCATCTCTACGAAAAGTAAAATAAATTAGCCAGTCTGCTATTACTAGGGAGACTGAGGTGGGAGGTACTTCAGCCCAGGGGTATGTGGCAGCAGTGAGCTATGATCACACCACTGCACTCCAGCTTGTGCAACAGAGTGAAACTCTGTCTCAAAAAGAAAAGAGAGAGACTCAGGAGAGCCGCCTTACCTCTTCTATCATGTGAGGAAAGTGAGAAGACAGCTGTGTAAGAACTACCTCTCTGGTGGGTCCTGGCCAGATACGGAATCTTCCTGCACTCGATCTTGCACTTCCCAGCCTCCAGGACTATGGGAAATGAATTTCTATTGTTTAAAAGCCACCCAGACTATGGTATTCTGTTATAGCAAGCTGAAGGACTAAGAACCAAAAAAGCCTGATACAATACAGATGGTAACTGAAGTCATGGACAGGGATGTAAATCTCACAGAGAATATGCAGACTGAGAAGAGAAGGTTGTCTGAGATGGAGTTGTGGCTAGTGCTTTGTGTGTGTGTGTGTAGCTAGGATTACAGGCATGTGCCACCACACCCGGTCTTACTGTTACCCAGACTGGACTGCAGTGACACAATCATGGCTCACTGCAGCCTCCACTTCCTGGGCTCAAGTGATCCACCCAGTTCAGCCTCCCGAGTAGCGGGGACTACAAGTGCACAACCAGCATACCCAGATAATTTTTTCTATTTTTATTTTATTTTATTTTTTTGAGATGGAGTCTCATTCTGTTGCCCAGGCTGGAGTGCAGTGGTGTGATCGACTCACTGCAACCTCTGCCTCCTGGGTTCAAGCAATTCTCCTGCCTCAGCCTCCTGAGCAGCTGGAATTTCAGGCACCCACCACCATGCCCAGCTAATTTTTTTTTGAGACAGAGTCTCAGTCTGTTGCTTAGGCTGGAGTGTAGTGGCTCGATCTTGGCTTACCACAACCTCTGCCTCCTGGGTTCAAGTGATTCTCCTGCCTCAGATTCCTGAGTAGCTGGGATTACAGGCACATGCCACCATGCCTGGCTAATTTTGGTATTTTTGGAAGAGATGTGATTTCACCATATTGGCCAGGCTGACCTCGATCTTCTTACCTTGTGATGTGCCCAACTTGGCGTCCCAAAGTGCTGGGATTATAGGCGTGAGCCACCGTTCCCGGCCAATATTTGTATTTTTAGTAGAGACAGGGTTTCCCCATGTTGGCCAGACTGGTCTTGAAGTCCCGACCTTGGAGGAGTTGCCCACCTTGGCCTCCCAAGGTGCTGGGATTATCAGCATGAGCCACCACGCCCAGCCAATCTTTCCTATTTTTACTAGAGACCAGGTTTCACCATGTTGCCCAGGCTGCTCTCGAACACCTGGGCTTAAGTAATATTCCCGCCTTGGCCTCCCAAAGTGCTGGGATTATAGGCACGAGCCACCACCTCCAGCCATGATGAATTTTTTCTCTTTTTTGAGACGGACTTCCGCTCTTGTTGCCCAGGCTGGAGTGCAATAGCGAGATCTCGGCTTACTGCAACCTCCACCTCCTGGGTTCAAGCGATTCTCCTGCCTCAGCCTCCTGAGTGGCTAGGATTACAGGCATGCGCCACCACACCTGGCTAATTTTGTATTTTTAGTGGAGACAGGGTTTCTCCATGTTGGCCAGGCTGGTCTTGAACTCCCAACCTCAGGTGATCTGCCCGCCTCAGCCTCCCAAAGTTCTGGGATTACAGGCGTGAGCCACCGCACCCGTCCTGCGATGATGAATTTTAAGGCGTAGATCAGAATCAATGATGCTGAGACGGAGAATGTGAGAGAATGGAGTGAAATAAGAGGAACACTAGAAATTACTGACTCAGAAGCTCAAAGAGGAAGGAGTGGCCAACACAAAAACTGTTTCTGAGAGATCAGGAAAGATGACGTTATGTCCATTGGATTAGGCCACCTTGAGGTGGTGACCTTGGTGGGAGCTGGGTCAGGTGTAAGGGGAGCCCAGCTGCAAGGGGTGAGGGGCCAAGTAGGAGTGTCATGCAGAGGGCAACCCAGCAGATCCTGACAGGCCAGGGTCCCCTCTGTGGCTTTAGTGTCTTCACTGGAGGAGGAAGGAGCTTTTGGAGCATGGAAAGCTCTGGAACAGTGGAAGGGGATTATGGAGAAGGACAGGTAAGAAGACTGATAAGCAGGAATGAGGGTTGAGACTAAAGCCCCCAGACCAAAGAAATAGGAATTTGTACAGATGGGAGGTTCCCTCCAACAACCTCCCATCACCCAGATGTAGCAGCAGAGAGGCTGTTCAAGCACTGGTCCAAGATTTCCAGGTTTCAGGCTGGGATCAGTGGGAGGCTGGTGGTCAGAGTGGAAGTGTGGGAAGAGGGGTTCAAACTTTCCACATGGGATGTTGGCTATGGAGGGAGAAATGTCAGGAGAGGCTGGCTGACAGGCTGGAGACCTTTAATGTACCCTACACACAAATGCTTGGGAAACAGTTCTGGGTATGAAGAGCTTTAGTGCTTAGCTGTGGGGAAGGGTGGAAGAGATATGGGGATGTCCTGAGACCCAGAGCCAATGTTCAGTTGTGGGTTTCTGAGGGGCAAGGGAGTCCTCTGGAGGAAGGCAGGAGTTGTGGTAGAGAGGATGGCTAAGCTGGTGCTAGACTAGTGTTTCTGGCTGGGGAACCCAGCGACGGGGAGGAAGGTGCAGGACCAGGGCAGGGAGGGTCCCTCGGAAAGAAAGTTCAGGGAGAAGGCCGGGGGTTCAGTGGGAAGCTGTGGAGAGGGCGCATAGGATGCTTGGTGTCAGGACCTTCTGGGGAGTTCTGGGCAGCCAGACCCGCCACTGGCTCCTCCCTTTACCATTCATTTATGCGCCTCCCCTCATCCCCAAGCAGGGACTGCCCCACACCCAGCCCCAAACCTCTTTGATGGCTGCCATGCGCACGCTCTCATAGTAGTGCAGGGGCGCGTTGGGTGTGCTCATGTCATAGCCAAATCCTGCGACTGCCACCTCATCACAGCCATGTAGTGCCATGGTCACCGCCACACTGCCAAGGGTAGGGATGTTCTGGAAGACGGCGGGGAAGAGAAGGTGTGCAGAGTTCAGTTGGAGGGCTGGGACAGCTGAGACTTCAGCCGAGCTCCCCAAGGCTAGCCTCCATGCCCAAAGACTGAGCCTTCTTCCCCAGAAAGCTATTCTTCAGGAGCACTGCCCCACCCACCACCCATCCTTTCTTCCAAGGCTCTTCAGACCCAGCTCACCTCCTCCCTCTCCCCAGGGCCCAGATATCTCACCCCCCGGCCCATGAGGCCATTGTTGAAGGGCAGGCCAATGAGGGTGAAGGCGGCCTCCTGGATGAAATATGGGTTGAGGATTCGAATCTCAGGGGGCTCCTTGGGCACTCGAGTGGCCACAGATTTCCAGAAGCCATCCGATGCACTCTGTGGACACAGCAAAATAGGGCCTGAAGGAGGCACACAGCTAGGGATGAGCCTACGGGAGTGGCAGTGACCCCAAGCAGGGACAATGAGGTGGGAGCATGAGGTGTATAATGGTGAACCCAGGGCCTGTGGTGTAGGAAGCCCATCTGTGTTGGGGGATATGAGGTATGTGACAGGGACAAGGGCAATGATTGGTGAAGAGGGCATGTGGTGGGGCTCCAGCGTGTAACGGAGGAAGATATGAAGGGAGTCGTGGGGCAGGCACAAGGCATGGGATGCTGTGGGGTGTGCTGCTATGGTCTGAGGGGGCTCCCTGGGCCAATGAGAAGACCCAGAAATGCAGCTGCCCTGCCTCCCTATCTGCAGCAGCTGAGGGGCTGAGAGGGGCTGCCCTCTCTCCTGTCTGCCCTCCTGTGCCCCCACTTCCCTTGCTGCTATCTCTCCTGCCTCTCTCTATCAACTCCTCTAGAGTGAACCTGAAAAATAAGAGACGGAACGTGAGCAAGTAGAGTACAGCAGACCAACACTGCCACTGACTAGAGAAGGGTAACTGGGTGACAAGCTCCCCAAGCCTCGTTTAACTGTAAAACCGGATCATTCTTATCTGAGGATCTCTGCACTGTACTAGAAAGATGTCACCACTGAAACCTGACATCCCAGTGTCCATTCCAGGGCTCAAATTCCTCTCCTTCCAAGTCTCTCTCTTCCTCCCTCTCCACGACACGGAGGCCTTTAGCTCCCCGGCCCTGATTCACTGTTCAGTACGTGCACCTCTCCTTGTTTAGACCCCGAAGCGTATCACATCAGCTACGCTTGTGAGCTGCTCCAGTACTCTGCCCCTTGTCCTTCTATTGTCCTAGTCTAGGGAAACCCTGAGCTTGGGATCAATCCATTTACCTCCTTTTTCTCCCCTTACAACTGGGCTCCTGGGCACCGCTAGAAAGGTCATAAACCAATCCTGCAGACTGGCAGCATCAACAAACCAAACTTACTTGAGTAGAAAACCTAAAAGAATTGGCTGGGCATGGTGGCTCACATCTGTAATCCCAGCACTTTGGGAGACCAAGGCGTGTGGATTATCTGAGGTCAGGAGTTCAAGACCAGCCTGGCCAACATGGTGAAACTCCATCTTTACTAAAAATACAAAAATTAGCCGGTTGTGGTGGTGGGCCCTTGTAATCTCAGCTATTTGGGAGGCTGAGGTAGGGGAATTGCTTGAACCCAGGAGACGGAGGTTGCAGTGAGCCAAGATGGTGCCATTGCACTCCAGCCTGGATGACAGACCAAGACTCTGTCTCAAAAAAAACAAACAACAAAAAACCTAAAAGAATCAGCTAAACTTAGAATGGATAAAATAATTTAGTGTAGCAATAGGAAACAGTCATCAGATATAATAAAAAGATCCTATTTGCAATCGTAACACAAAAGTCAACTTCTGAGCAATAAATGTAAGAGATATGTGAGAACCACAGAAGGAAAACTGTAAGTCCTTTACTAATATAAAAAGAGACAAAACCATATTCCTGGGTGGGAAGGCTCCAATGCCAACTCCTCCCAGATTTACGTGCAGGTTTAACATAATTCTAAGAAAAAAATCTCAGTCGGATGTTTCAAGATTTATCAAATGGATTCTAAAAACCCATCCAAAAGATTGATCAGGTAAACATAACACCCTCAAATTAAAAATTAGGTTTTATAGTGTATTATGGGTTTGCACTTATTACCACAGTGATATATGTATATATGAGAATCAAAACCAAGAGCAGTGCAACAGGATCCTACAGGCAGATCAACAAAGGTCCAGGTTACGGTAAAGAAAGCTTCACCTTCAAGTGGGAACACATGAGATTTGAAAATTTTCAATTTGGGAAGAAGATCCGCTTACTTTCTCTCCTCATACCATATACAAAATAAATGTTTAAAAAGGAAAAAAGGAAAATTTAGGCTGGGCATGGTGGCTCGTGTCTGTAATCCTAGCCCTTTGGGAGGCTGAGGCAGGTGGACTGCTTGAGCTCAGGAGTTCAAGAACAGCCTGGGCAACATGGAGAAACTCTGTCTCTATGAAAATACAAAAATGAGCAGAGCATGGTGGCATGTGCCTGCAGTTCCACACCATCGGAGGCTGAGGTGGGAGGACCGCTGGAGCCCAGGAGGCAGAAGCTGCTGTGAGTCATCATCACGCCACTGTCACTCCAGCCTGGATGACAGACTGACACTCTGTTTCAAATATATATGCAAGATAGGGAAACAAAAAATTGGTAAAAATTTTGTCACATATAGTAAGAAATGCGTATTTAAAAAACTCATGAAGAATCAATCAGGCTCCATAAATATGGATAAAGGACATAAACAAAAGGTTACTAAACATGGAAAAATTTAATGACAAATAGATGCACATTAAAATAACACTTTTTTTCCCACTAAAATCTGTGTATGTGTATATTTCTGTATCTATATCTTAGTGCTTGTAAAATTCTCCTGCACTGCTTTAGGAGTAAATCTGGCACAGCCTTTCTAAAAAGCAATCTACGTGTCAAAGGCCTCAAAGCTGTTTATATCTTATGACCTCAAAAAAAAAATTTTTTTTTTTTTTGCATTTTTAGTAGAGATGGGGTTTCACCATGTTGATCAGGATGGTCTCGATCTCCTGACCTCGTGATCCACCCGCCTCGGCCTCCCAAAGTGTTGGGATTACAGGCGTGAGCCACCGCGAAAAATAATCAAATGAAGACCTTTGTAAAAAGCTCTTTATTATAGTATTACTTATAAAAAGTGAGAAAAAAAAAAACCCAGAAAACGATCAAAAGTTTACGAGAGGTTTTGCTAAATGATATATTTACATAAAAGAATGTCATAGTTATCAAAATGATATCTTCTAAGAATTTTGGGACAGGTGCGGTGGGTGGTTCATGCCTGTGATCCCAGCACTTTGGAAGTCTGAGGTGGGAGGATTGCTTGAGCCCAGGAATTCAATACCAGCTTGAGCAACATAGTGAGACAGTATCTTTTTTTTTTTTTTTTTTGAGACAGAGTTTCGCTTTTGTTACCCAGACTGGAGTGCAATGGCACGATCTTGGCTCACTGCAACCTCTGCCTCCTGGGTTCAAGCAATTCTCCTGCCTCAGCCTCCGAGTAGCTGGGAATACAGGTGTGCACCACCATGCCCAGCTAATTTTTGTATTTTTAGTAGAGAGACAGGGTTTTACCTTGTTGACCAGGATGGTCTCGATCTCTTGACCTCGTGATCCACCCGCCTCGGCCTCCCAAAGTGCTGGGATTATAGGCATGAGCCACCGCGCCTGGCTGACAGTGTCTTTACAATAAATAGAATAATTAGCTGGGCATGCGGCTGTGGACCCTGGCACTCGGGAGGCTGAGGTGGAAGAGTAGCTTACTCAGGAATTCTAGGCTGCAGTGAGCCGTGATCCAGCCACTGCCCTCTAGCCTGGGTGAGAGAGAAAGGCCCTGTCTCAAGAAAAAAAAAAAAAAAAGGAATTTTGTCTTATGGATGTACCATAATATATGTAACTAGTAACTAACCCTGTTGGATGTCTAAGTTGTTTCTAGTTTCCCCAGGTATCTTCCTCTTCCTTGTTCCCTATCCTCTACTGTCCATCCAGTCTTCCAAACCAGCAGTCTGGGAACTGACTTGAGATTCTCTTCCACCCCGCCAGCCTATCTTATCTTGTGCTGCTGGTCATCTAGTTCTTTTGAGTCTATCAGCTTAGAACCCAATAGATCCACCCCTTGATCCCAAGCCTACTGCTACCACTTCCAGGGCAGGTCTTATCACTCTTCATCTGGACCGTCCTAATGACTGGCCATTTACAGTAATATCTTTTTCACTGCTGAACACCCCAAAGCCCAGTACTGAAATATAAATGGTACACAAAACACAATTGTTAAATTCTATTCACTTATTCAATGAGCATTAATGAGAGCCTATGAAGGGCTGCCTCTGCCTCCCAGACCACTTTTTTTTTGTTTTTTTTTTTTGAGACAGACTCTCGCTCTGTTGCCCAGGCTGGAGTGCAGTGTGGCACAAGCTCGGATCACTGCAACCTCTGCCTCCCGGGTTCAAGCAATTCTCCTGCCTCAGCCTCCAGAGTAGCTTGGATTATAGGTGGCTGCCACCATGCTCAGCTATTTTTGTATTTTTTAGTAGAGATGGGGTTTCACCATGTTGGCCAGGCTGGTCTCAAACTCCTGACCTCAGGTGATCCACTTGCCTTGGCCTCCCAAAGTGCTGGGATTACAGGCGTGAGTCACCACACCTGGCCTCCCAAACCTCTTTCTACTCTCCTCCAGAATGATATTTCCATGTACAAATCAGATCACAACACCACTGCCTGGAGAAGAGCTGAGCCCTTTAGCCAGTAACCCATCTGTCTCTCATTTCAGTCTCAGCCCATCTGAAGCCCCCACTTGCTAATTCATGTCCCACACTTTGGCTGATGCTGCTCCTTGTCTCTAACGTCCTTCCCACTTCTATCCATATGACCCAACCATTTTCTGCATCTCCTTCAAGTCTTTCCTGGCCCCCTCCACGCCAAGGCAGAACTGACCTCTAACCTTCAAGAGGTGGTAAAATATGGATTCAGATACTTGGTCCTAGGACTTAATTTCAGCTCTGCTCACTCACCATGTGCAGATCCTGGGAAAGGAATATACCATTTCCTTATGGATAAACCAGGGATACCATGAGTATTAAGCTTACAAACTATTGTGAGAAATGAGCCATTTCAGCCTGAGTGCACATGAGCCTCACAGGGCAGGGGTTCACATCTGATTTACCTCTGTAGCCCAGGGCCTGGCTCAGCACAGGCAGCAGAGGCATCAGTGATGGTTATACTTAAGCAGACATGACCTCCACCCAAGGTCCGTGAGCAGCAGCTCTTCAGCCTCTTCTGCTGCTGCTCCTCTGGTGGACTGTCTATTCCAGCCACTCCCTCCTCTGTCTCCCATCTCTGTGGCAACATCTCTTCCTCTGGCAAACTGTC